TATTCACCACCGAGGGTGGTGGCGGAGTGGAAATGTGTCTTCCTTCCACACAAGTAAGCAGGGCTCGACTCTTGAGGGGCTTGACTAACGACCCGTTTTTCAAATGATGAAACTGACTACGCTATATTTCGATTGTGATTATGGCTTTTGTGTTAGGGGTTGGTACATTTCTCTCTTACCCCGGTGGTGGATTCCTTCCTTTGAATTGAGATAAGTCTGGCCTTCGCACCAACGCCTAGGGATTGCAATGATACTACCAATATGCACCATTTTTTTTTTGGATCAAAAATAAAAAATTCAAATACATATTCTTAATCTTCACATAAAAATAAACAACTTTATCTCTTAAATCAATCTAAAATATTAAGTAAATCCCATACTAATTAAACTAGTATGACAGTCAAAACTCATGGTTGAAAAAACATTTTTCCAATATGAAATTTTTATACAACTCTTCTATTAGATACATATGTATCGATTCATCATACATATATTATGTGAGAGTATTGAAATTTCTAGAACAACACATTATTATATATATAGATTATTGAAAATCAAATAAAAATTCAAAAATGGGTATTTATTCATTCAAGCTAATGGTGGCTTCTGACCCTTCTATTGTGAAGTAATCTTGCTTCACCTATAACAATAAAATAAAAATTTCCACCGACCTAAGAGTAGGAGTATGGCTGCTAGCCGTAGTTGCATTTAATGCTTTCACATTGCTAGCCGTATTTGCATTTGATGTTTTCACATTTCTAGTTTATCTATAAATAGCTAATGTATTAGAGTGATGAGTATGTGGGAGAAAGAAAATAAAAGAGTGGTCTGTTTGTTTGTTTTCTCAGAATCATTTCGAGTGAATTTAAATTTTAGTTTGGTTCAGTGTTAATCCTCTCATTTTGAATCATCAACAGTGGTTTGCACCCCACTCCCACCAACAATGGCATTAGAGCTGAATATAACTTGCATTTGCAAACATTCTGCAAAATTTTCAAGAATAGAGTGTGTTTTTCAAAAATTGTCCAGAAATCAAAGTGGTTGAAATCCACTTTTGATTAGATCAACTTGAAGCTCCCGACGAGACGAGCACAACTGTGAAAATCGTGTCGAAAAAGGATTTCGGACAACTTCACAAGACGATCACAGAGAAAAAAATAACGTCGAAAACTGAGCCTCACAATCCCCGCACGCGCCTCTTGACGCCGTCGCCATGCGCTGCAACGCACGCACGCGCCTTCTTCGCCCGGAGTTGCAGGGTCCAACCCGTCTGGCACACGATTCGGTCCATTAGCTCGGATCCGGATCCTTTGAGTTGACGTCATTGATGACATCACGCCAAGTCGTTCAGCTGAGCTAGAGCCGAGCCGAGCTGCCAAGCCGCTAACGTCACACTAATGTCATTGGATCCGAAAAAATTATCCAGTACTTCTCAGAATTTCCAGAATTCGCCGATCTGAGCCGTTTAATTATTTTTTGCTAAATCTGAGCCGTTTGAAATCCATTTTTAGTGATCCAATAGTGCTTTCCAACTATTTGGAGTATTTCGGACACATCTGTACAGTCAGAATTTACAAATTACATACTAAAAAATTGCAAATTTTTTATAGTCAACCAATGGCCAGTACAAACAACTTCTTTCAGCCCTAGTTTCCAAAACTCAGCAAGGAGAACTATGAAAATTGAAGTATTCAAATGCAAGTCCTACTAGTCTCACAAGGTTTGTGGGAGTTAGTTGATCAAGGATATGACGAGCCAGCTACTCTCGATGATGAAAAAAATTTAAATGAAGCTCAGAAGATAACATTAAACGATTCAAGGAAGAAAGATAAAAAAAGGCCTTGTATCTACTCTATCAAGGCATTGATGAGTCAAGCTTTGAGAAGATTTCAGCAGCAGCAACCTCTAAAGAGGCATGGAGTATTTTTCGCAATTCATGCCGTGGAATTGAGAAGACGATTAGAGTTCGACTCCAAGTGTTACGTTGGCGAATTCGGGATGTTGTACATGAATGAGAATAAGTCAATTTCTGAGTACTTTAATAGAAAATTGACCATTGTTAATCAGATGAGAAGATATGGAGAGAAGATGGAATCTCTTCAAGTGATAGAGAAGATTCTACGATCACTCAGTCCCAAGTTCGAGTACGTGGTTGCAGCAATAGAAGAGTCCAAGGATCTCAGTGCCATGACCCCTGATGAGTTGATGAGCACACTTGAGATTTGTGAACAAAGGATCAACAAGAAGACTCCCTCAAGTTCACTAGAGCAAGCTCTTCAATCAAAGTTGTCTTTCAAAGATGACAGAAACGAGCAAGGGGGGACATCACAAAGAAGCCGAGGAAGAGGTCGTGGTTACAATAATCGAAGTTCTGGTTTTTGAGGAAGAGGCAAAAGAGGTCCAGCCAGAGGAGGAAGAAGTCAACCACACTTTGCTCCAAGAGAAAGAGCAAGAAGTAGAGGAGGTGGTTACAACAACCGAACAAGAGTTGACAAAAGCAATGTTCAGTGTTACCAGTGCCACAAGTTCGAGCATTACAACAATGAATGCCAAAGTAGAGCAACAACAGAAGCCGAAGAGCAAACAAATTTTGCTGAGCAGGAAACAAACAAAGTTGGACCTATAGTCCTGTTTGTCCACCATGGAGACACTGAAAACCAAAACAATGTTTGGTATCTAGATTTGGGAGCCAGTAATCACATGTGTGGTAAAAGAGAGTTGTTTGTTGAGTTTGACGAGACTATACAAGCACAAGTCTCATTTGGTGATTCTTCAAAGACTCCAGTGAAAGGTAGAGGCAATATTCTGATCTAGCTCAAAAATGGAGATCATGATTACATCTCCAATGTTTATTATGTCCCTGCCATGAAGAACAACATTTTGAGTATGGGACAACTCCTAGAGAAAGGATATGACTTCAACATGAAAAATTGTCATCTTACTATCAAAGACAATCATGGTAATTTGATCGCTCGGGTGAGAATGTCCAAGAATCGGATGTTTGCATTGAACATCCAACATGATGCTGCGAAGTGTTTAAGTGTCATCATCAAAGACAAAGATTGGCTATGGCATTTGAGGTTTGGACATCTCAACTTTGGAAACTTAAAGCTGTTGTCAAGCAAGAATATGGTAAAAAGGCTCCCTCATATTGCTCATACTAATGAAGTTTGTGAAAGCTGCATTCTTGGCAAGCATCACAGAACTAGCTTTGCCAAAGAAGTGAAGTAGAGAGCAACAAAGCCGCTGGAGCTAGTGCACACTAATGTGTGTGGTCCATTGAAGCCAATGTCAAATGCACATAATAGATATTTTCTCACATTCATTGATGATTATAGTCGGAAGACATGGGTGCATTTTCTTAAAGAAAATCGGAGGTGTTTAATATCTTCAAAGAATTCAAAGTTCTTGTGGAAAAGCAAAGCGGCTACTACATCAAGACATTGCGGTCAAATCAAGGTAGAGAGTATACATCAAATGCTTTCGAGAATTATTGCAAAGAGCATGGAATCAAGCATCAAACAACACCATCATTTATGCCACAGCTGAATGGTGTTGTTGAAAGGATTATCGCACAATCTTAGATATGGCAAGGATCATATTGAAAGGAAAGTGACTACCCAAACAATTTGGGGCTGAAGCCCTATCATGTGTTGTGTATCTGTTGAACAAATGTCCAACCAGGAGCCTTCACTCTATGACTCTAGAAGAAGCTTGGAGTTCACATAAGCCAAGTGTCAATCATCTCAGAATATTTGGGTGTGTTGCATACACCAAGATTCCAGAAGTAAGAAGAACCAAGCTCGACGATAAAGGAGAAAAATGTATCATTGTCGGATATGGAGACAGAACAATGGGATACAAGTTGTATAATCCCATTACCAGAAAGGTGATCATAAGTAAAGATGTGATATTTGAAGAAGAAGAAGCTTGAAACTGGAATCAAGATGAAGTTGTTATAGATACAAAACTCATTCTTGAAGATGAAACATCAAAATCCCCAGTTGAAATTACAAGAGAAGTTCAAGATGAGTCACAAACTCCTCCACATAGAATACCGGCACCTAGATCTCCAGTTGCTCATAAAAATGCTGCATCATCATCATCATCAGCATCATCATCAGATGATAGTTTTTTCAAACAACCAAAAGCAATGAGAAATTTGTAGGAGATATATGAAGCTACAAAAGAAGCAGATCTAAATTTGTTCTGCCTACTCTCAGATAGTGATCTACTTACTTTCTTAGAAGCCATCCAAGAAGATAAATGGAAGAAAGCAATGGATGAAGAAATTCATGCCATTGAGAAAAATGACACACGGAAGGTTACCAGTCTACCGGAGGGGCACAAACCCATTGGAGTGAAATGGGTATACAAGACAAAGAGGAGTGCACAAGAAGAAGTGCAACACTGTAAGGCAAGGTTAGTAGCAAAAGGTTACAAGCAGAGAGCTGGAATTGATTATGGAGAGGTGTTTGCTTCAGTTGCCCGATTGGAGACTATCAGGCTAATGATTTCTTTGGCTGCCCAGCATAAGTGGCAGATTTATCAACATGATGTGAAATCGGCATTTCTTAATGGTTTCCTTGAAGAAGAAATCTATATAGAACAACCTTCGGGGTATGTTCAGAATGGGCATGAAAACAAAGTGTACAAATTGAAGAAAACACTTTATGGATTGAAGCAAGCGCCGCGTGCATGGAATACTAGAATTGATCAGTATTTTCATAACAATGGTTTTGAAAAATGTCCATATGAACACACACTATATTTGAAGAAGGAAGCTGATGGAAGCATGTTGCTTGCTTGTCTTTATGTTGATAATCCAATTTTCACCGGAAACAAGCCAGCCATGTTCAAAGACTTTAAAAGAAGCATGATCCAAGAATTTGAAACCGCGTGCATGGAATACTAGAATTGATCAGTATTTTCATAACAATGGTTTTGAAAAATGTCCATATGAACACACACTATATTTGAAGAAGGAAGCTGATGGAAGCATGTTGCTTGCTTGTCTTTATGTTGATAATATAATTTTCACCGGAAACAAGCCAGCCATGTTCAAAGACTTTAAAAGAAGTATGATCCAAGAATTTGAAATGACAGATATTGGATTGATGGCTCATTTTCTCGGCATTGAAGTGGCACAAAGAAAATATGAAATTTTTATTTCCCCAAGTGGCTATGCCAAGGAAATTCTCAAGAGATATGGAATAAAAAATTACAATCCAGTGAACACTGCTGTAGACAGTGGAGTGGAGCTCAAAAAAGGTACAAAGGCAAGTGATGTGGATCCAACTTATTACAAGAGCCTAGTTGGAAGTCTTCGCTATCTTACTTGCGCTAGGCCAGACATGCTCTACGGAGTAAGACCGATTAGCAGATATATGGAAACACCAAATCAGTCACACCTTTATGCAGCAATGAGGATCCTTCGGTACATCAAAGGTACAATCAATGATGGTTTATTCTATAAATCAACTGATAATTTCAGTTTTGTTGGCTACTCAGATAGCGACTGGGTACGTGACTTGGATGAACGGAAAAGTACTACGGAATTTACTTTCTTTATGGGAGAAGTAAGCATATTGACACCCGTTGTCATTTCATCCGCGAGCATGTGAAAAATAAAGAGGTGAAATTATTTCCTTGTAAATCTCAAGATCAACTTGCAGATATTTTCACGAAACCATTGAAAAATGATCTGTTCAACAGAATGAAGATAATGCTTGGGATGAAGCCGCATTGAGAATCAAGATTAAGGGGGAATGCTGTGAAGTATCTTGCTTCATCTATAATAATAAAATAAAAATTTTCCACCGACCTAAGAGTAGAAGTATGGCTGAAATCAAAATTTTCAAAGGTGGTTGGCTGCTAGCCGTTGTTGCATTTAATGCTTTCACATTGCTAGCCGTATTTGCATTTAATGCTTTCACATTTCTAGTTTATCTATAAATAGCTAATGTATCAGAGTGATAAGTGTGTGGGAGAAAGAAAATAAAAAAGTGGTCTGTTTGTTTGTTTTCTCAGAATTATTTTGAATGAATTTAAATTTCAGTTTGGTTTAGTGTTAATCTTCTCATTGTGAATCACCAACAGTGGTTTGCACCCCACTCCCACCAACACCTTCATCTCAATTTTCTATTCCAACTATCTGTCTTATATGTTGCCATGTAGTCTTCAGCTAAAAACGGACCAACGAGCTCACTATGGTAAATAATTTTTTATGCAAACGGTTATCTAATGAGAAGAGGATTAACTTAGGAATTCGCTAAATTATAAAAAAATTGATAATAAAATTTAAAGGGTTGAGTTTGAGTTAAGTCAAAGGACCGCTGGAGATTTGTCCATTAGTCGAAGTACATTCTAATTAGCTCAAACATTCGGTTATCAAAAAAAAAAATGGTATTCATTTTTTTAAATGACAATGTGACATAATACGGAAATAGAAGAGAAAGTTCTATGAATTTATTTATTTTTGTATAATTCATCTTTATTGTTATATTTATAAAATGAATGATTCGAATTATCGTTATATGTTCTGGATGAAACTCACAAAATAAAATTGGAGGGTAGTGGCATAGAAGATAGTCATTCCCTTATTTATCACTACTGGTGCAATGAAACTTGCCCAAATGCTGATAATTAATGTGTATATATATATATATATATATTAGAGTTGTGCCCTTTAAACAATTGAAAAAAAATTACATATTCAGAAAGAGATTTAAATTTAAAAATACAAAGCCTGCGATGCAGTTTTAAATTTAGGTCTTGTTTGATAATTTACTATTATAGTTGAAAAGTTAAAAAATACTAAAAAATTAAAAAGTCAACAACATATATTAAAAAGTCAAATATTTTATTTTTTCTCTACTTTTTACACATCTTTTTATAAAAAAAATTTAAAAAAATTCCTAATATACTAAATTTTTTATCTCATATTTTAATCAAAAAAATTGAAAAATTACTAAATCGAGGCTTTAGTATAATATAAATCACACTTACACTTTTATTTTTATTTTTGAGTCATACATTTTATTTTGTAAACACTTTATAAATTATTAATTTTTGTTTCCAAATGGGTAGCATTTACAAACAATTAATTCCTATATTTAAGTCAACAATGTGCTAAGCTTTCCAGAAGGAATCATGATTCACTATGTGTGAGAGAAATAGTGAGATTTTTCCAATGAAATGGTCCTTTCAAAAAAGGGCAGTCCGGTTTTCCTTTCTTGACAAGGCTTTAATTCCTTAAGATGACTGACATAATTAAAAATAAATTGAAATTACAATATATAATTGTATCCACCGACTGTTTAGTCAAATATTATGGATATCAAGAATATAAGATTGGGGTTGGACTTTGAATATGAAAAAAAATTGAGTATCTATAGGGTCTATTTCAGTTTCAATAATTTGAATTATTGATTTTATATGATTCTTAGTTTATATTATTTATCAAGAAATTAGTTCAATTTAAAAATTATAATATTTTTATTTTATCACATTTGTTTTCAAAAAAAAAAAAACAAACATATTTTTCAAAATAAACCATTTAATTTTTTATACACATACGATAAAATGAAAAAGAAATAGTTATGGTCATCAAATCAAGCTAATTTTTTTTTTTTCCAAATGAAATACATTAAAAATTCTTCAAAATTAATTATTCAAATAATCAAAACGGGATAAAAACTTAGGCTTGGTTTGAGATATTCTAAATAAGTGCACTTTTTGACTTTTTATGAAATATAGGTTGAGTTTGAAGTGATGCGGTAGAGAGGTGATGTGACTTAAATAAGATGATGTGACTTAAATAGAATACTAACTTTTTAATTTTTTAACTTTTTTAGTATATGACAAACAAGACCTTAAGATCACCTAAGTTCATTCAAATTCAAATATAAATTTGAAAAAAATCAACCCATAAATTAAGCTGAACAATTAACGGCATAAGAAAGTCAAATAAGACAAACCTCCGACAATATTACAAGAATGAGATAATAGGGAAGAAATAAACAAGTAAACAAAAAAAAAAATAATAATAATTAAAAATAATTGCAAATCTATGTATTTCAAATTAAGACAGCCTCTCTCTTTCTATCTTTAAGATATCTTAACTGCTCTCTTTCTTTATTTAAGCCTTATTTGGTAACTCACTATTTTAGTTTAAAAGTTAAAAAGTCACTAATAAAAATTAAAAAATTAATAATATATATCAAAAAATCAAAAAGTTTATTTTCTCTCTAATTTTTACACGTCTTTTCATAAAATATCAAAATATCATTTTGTTGGCTACATATTTTGTAAAAGCCAGTTACAGTTTGACACGTGGCAGAGTAAGGGTAATAAAGGAAGGTTATTCAAGCCTTTAATCCTGATCATACACGTGGCAATAAATATTGGTCCTCACATGATCTGAGTAACACTAGAGCAATAACGGGATGCAAGATGACATATCTTCAACGGTTACTCATATTCAAATTCAAATTACAAGAGGGAAGCTCAACTGCCAGTAATGGCGTAATGGAGCTACTTGTAAGGAAGCATGATCAGCGATCATGGAGGAGCAGTTCGACGGTTCAAAGTGCAGTTCGAAGGTCATCACTGACGAGTATAAATAGCAGGGCAGCCCCCAGAAAAAAGGACGGACTCAGATCATACAAATCAGTCATTTACTTCATATATTTTCTTTTCCAGTCTTTTACATTTCCAGTCTTTAAATACCTGTTCTTTAAATACCTGCACTTTAAATACCCGCACTGCACTTCGATTCATAGGAGTAGCTTCAAGTAGATTCAAGTAGATTGCTGTTGTAAACCTCTCCGAGGCTGAGTTCGGACCATTGTAAGTGTTCATTTTTATGAAATACTTCAATTGAGGCTTTTTGGCTATTTTAGTTTGTGTTTGGGAAGATGGGATGGATTTTTATTTGAGTTGGTGTATTGAAAAATGTGTTGAAATGATGTTTGAAGTTAAAATGACATCACATTTTTCAAAATTAATTTAGAGGGGTAAAATTGTAATTAACCAACCTGTCACAGTGACAGTCTTACACTGTCACTGTGACAGCCCACAGCCGGGCTATTTTTTTTTTTTTCTTAAATCAATGGCCTAAAGGGGCTAAAAGGCTTTTTTTATTGTTGAGGCTAAAATAGCCTCTACCTAGGCTTCCCAAACACCGCCAAAATCAATTCATCGAAAAAATTCAAAAAACAGTTAACCTAAAAAGTTCTCACTTCCAAAACTTTTCATTGTGGCTTAGGCACAAGGTGAGGTGCACGCTTCATTGAAGCGAGGCACACCTTTCAATAAAAAATAAATAATTAACATAGACTAATAATTTGGACATACACATAATCAAAATAAATAATTCACAACTCATAACCACTAAAACAAGGTAAGACCAAAAAAAAAAAGAGGATAACTTTATCTTGACAGTGCAACAAACTATTAAACCGGTTGGATTGGGGGTCAGCGGTGGTGGTGAGTTGTGCTGAGTGTCCCCAACAGTGGCAGCTATGAAATATAGAACATCAAAATTAAAAACATTATAAATATATGAATCAAACAAAACTAAAACTATAGAAACTATATCAATCAAAAAGAAGAAGAAGAAAGCTTCTTTCTTATCGAAACATCCCTTTTGATATTCATATTATGATTCGATACATTTCAATTGAGCAACTTGTAATTGAATATATAATACATTAAGGGGTTGTTTGGAATGTCCTAAATAAGTGTATTTTTTGACTTTTTGGACTAAAAAATTGAGGAAAAAAATATGAATGGTTGGATTAAATTTTTGACTTTTTACGAAAAAAATGTGTATTAAAAAATTGTATATATTAGTGTGTAGGAAAAGTTTTGACTTTTTGACTGTACGGTGGCAGGTTTGGTTTGCTGAGTGGTGTAATAGGAAATGGTTGCCTTCTTTTCAGGCAACCATTTAGACGGTGCTCTTTGGCCAGTGGGGGCCACCACGGGTCCCGTTTTGCTAATCAAAACCGTGCAATGTATATAACTCGTCGAGTATTATATGTTTGTAAAAAATTGTGTTGATCGGATATCTATAGCTATTGATCGGATTAGTTTTTTTTTCCAATCATTAACTATAACACCATCTATTTTTTATACAAAAGTGATTTGATTATGTAGTTAGCGATATCCGATCAACGTGATTTTTTACAGCATATAGTACTGGACGAGTTGTACACATTAAACGGTTCAGATTATCAAAACGGAACCCATGGTAAGCTCCCGTGAGCCTAATATTACTATTCAACTTAATGAATATATATGTAATTTGTTTTTTGGTTCCATTCACGGTACTAAAGCCATCAATTTAGTCCTGAAAATCGTGTAAAGTTAGTTCATATTAAAATATTATGTATATTAATTTTTTTATATTTTTAATTTATAAATTGTGATAACTTTTTTATTCTTTTGTGTAATTTTTTAACTTTTTGAATTTTTTGAAACATCTCAAATCAGGCCTGAGTATAATATTTTTTAATTAACATAAATAAATAAATGAAAAATATTTATCCATGAGAAGAACTCACCTGTCCTCTCAATTGAGAGTCTACATGGCTGACCATTGATTAAAAAGACCACTAAT